CATGCATGCATGCATGCATCCATCCTTGTTTTACCCTCTGATGGTACACCTTATGTGGGGCCAGGCTCCGTTTTGACACCCTCATCAACACTTTCATTTTATCATTATTCATCATTTCATTTTGTTTTTGCACACCTAGTATCATATATTAATATCATCATTTGTAGCTGTTTTATTTTTGATGAAAGCTTATAAATAAATAAATAAATGATGTGCACACCTTTTGGGTTTTCCCTATTCATAGAAATCACACACTTTTATCTGATTACATTATGTGGCAAGTCGTACGTCAATACGTTGGTGGTCTTCCCGATCTATACCGACCTGCAAATGGCGATCTTTTAATAAGCACCAACATACCACGATGGAAGCAGTGCATCAATGCAATGTTAGACCCCTTTGACATGCCACTCGGCCTACTGTTTGTGGATGTTCGTTTTTATGATGAAGCTAAAGTTCAGGTATTTTTGTTCTTTTTGTTCTTTCTTAAATGTGATGTCTACATACCTTTTTAACATGATAATAAAAAAATATTATTATCAGGTATTATCATTATTACTAGTTATATTATAAAGCCCTAACCAGCGAAGCGCGTCTAACCACAAATTAAAACGTTTATGCCTGAAGAAGTTTCACTTTTCTTGACATTAATACCCCAGGCATGTCCACCCACTTTCCGTCATATATTATAATCATTATTAAAGTTTAAATTTATTTTATAACTCCATCTTTCATTGCAGATCAGAGAAATGATTGAAAATGCCCGAACTTCATTCATTCAGAATCTACCAACTCAAACTTGGATGGACAAAGCAACTCAGGAATTGGCGAAGGAAAAGGTACCAAAGTATTGAATGAAAGGAAAGTCATAGTGCACATTAGGCACCATGAGACACAAAGCAATTGGTTGAAAAGTCTGCAGCGCACCCCTCCCCCACTCCTCTCCATTTAAATAATTAGCGACCTTTTTTCCCAAGCTACATAAATCTTTCCCTACTACATTTTACCTAAAATTTGCTATCATTTTACAGGCACTGGCACTGGCAATCGCCATTGTCATTGTGCACCTGTAAACTATGATATTCCTCTCTTTTTGGCCTAAAATGTGTTATTATTCAACAGGCGTTGGCAATCGCCATCGGGGAAATTGGATATCCAGCTTACATCAAGGATCCTGCAAAACTCAAGGCACAGTATGATTCGGTAATTATTCATCTTGACCCAGTTGTTCCAAGGGTGTATAGTGCTATCCGATGGAGAAATCTTATGCAGTGGATAAATTTATTGGATAGCAGCATCTACTTATCCACTAGATAAGGATTTATCCGTTGGATAGCGCTATCCACTATTGGTACAACCAAACCCTTATATTTTGAGCGTATGTATGAAACCTTCATTGTTTGTTGAACCCTGGAACAACATTTGGGCTGATTTGATTCACTCAGGACACACGGCTAACTTACAGATTGAATTGGAATTTAGCATGTTAAGCTTTTTGGTGTGACGAAACCGAAGAACCCACGAAAAAGGGAGATTACTATTACAAAGTTTTACCAGAAATTCGAGGAAAGGGGTGGTGGGAGTGGGGAGGTGACTCTTACCAACGATATAATACAGAGAAATTTGAACAGATAGGGGAACGATTAGTCACTTATTTTACCACCCCTGGATTCGCCCCTGCGAGCGATCTAACAAACTCTCATCAAATATCAATGCCAATCTAATTCCATGAAGAGAGAAGCGACTCGCTCTACTGCTACGCCATCTTTGATTCCCTCCTGAATTAACATTCCAAGTTTAATTTGTTGCGTGCAAGCTCGTGCAAAACTTGTCTCTAACAATACGATGTTAATAGCTAGATTGGATATTATTTTTTTATTAGTTATTATCTTTGCTACTCTTCAGCTCAACGTAACAGACAGCCTGATGGACAACATCAAAGCCGCCAATCATTTAGTTAGAATGAGGACATTAAAAAACTTTGAGCGCCCAGTGGACAAAAAAGAGTAAGAACAGCCTTGTGGGTGTGGGTGTGGGTGTGGGTCTGTCTGGGTCTAATGTTTTTCTGTCATTTCTAATTTTAAGATGGACATTTAAAAGCCCGACCCAATACAATGGTTTCTATGCTGGTTACTTGAATAAGATAGGTAAGTTAATGGACGACTTACCGGGCTTTTCCCTACCAAACGATCGTTTGCGTGCTATATTTAATAAAACGAGCCAGCTTCGAATCTATCGAAATGTGTGGGTTTAACGTACAGAATCCTAGTGCGTAGAAGTATGCAAACATATCAATGTGGTCATACTTTTGTGCGTTGTGCGTTGTGTTAAATATGGTCAATTAATTCTTGCTTGTTTTCATAATAATACGGTGATGCTGCATGGGTTGAACACGGAATTGCATGCATGTAACGTAACGAATATGACTCTACTGTATACTAAATCTAATTTTTAGTTTTCCTTGCTGGAATTCTTCAAAAACCGATGTACTGTTTTTCCATTTCGCATTTAATATTTTTTTCCTAGAAAAGAAACATGGTGAGACTCAGCTAGGTAGATCCATTGTCTCTTGTCTTTTAAAAG